GCGGGCTCAGGCAATCCACTCACCTCAGCCTCCCAAAGCACAGGATTACAGGCTGAGCCACTGAGCCCAGCTGTCTTCAAATTTTAACCTTAATTCTTTTTAGTTTTTGCTCTTCATTACTTCCTGCCTTTTATTATATTAGAGTTTATTCTATTGTTCATTTTTCAAGTTAGTTAATTCCTTTATCTTTAGCCATACTACTTTCATAAGCTTTTAAAACAATGAATTTCCCTCCAAATTTCACTTTAGCTGCATTTCACATATTTTACTATGTAGATTTTCAGTTTTCAGGCCTAATCATTTTGTACTTTCCATATTTTTTGCCTCATAAACATTGGGTATTTAGAAATGTTGATTTCCAAATAGTGAGTTTCTGTAAGCTATCTTTTTATTTATTTCTAGATCTTGCTTCGTGGTCAGAGAATGTGCTCTGTGTGAACTGATACTTTTACATTTGACAAGATTCACTTTATAGCTTGGAGTCAATTTTTATCATTATATGATTATAAAAAGTTGATTCATATCTGCCTGTTAGAGCAAACTTGTTCATTGCTTTTAAATTGCCATTCTTATTTTCTGTATTATTTTCCAACTTTTTTGGGTGGTTATCTGACCTAGTAATTACTGAGAGTACATTTTAAAAATCTTGGCTTATGATAGATTTATCCTTGTCCATTTTTGCTCACATATTTCTTGAAGTTGTATTATTTATTGCATTAGGTTGAGGATTGTTGTATCTTTTTGGGCAGGACTTTTATCATTATCCATCTTTTGCCCTGAAGTCCATTTGTGTGATATTTTTGGGAACCAGTTTTCTTTTGATTGGTGTATATCTACTTTCATTCTTTTACTTAACTTTTCTCCATCTTTAAGTCTTAGGAATATCTCTTATAATCAGCATATAGCTGTATTTTGTTTACCATCCAGTCTGGGTATTAATACTTTTCTTTTTTTGAAACATAAAGGATTCTCGTTGATCTGAAGAATGAAGTTTGGTATCAAAAATGTCATGATCCTGTATGTAAAGCAGAACACTTCAAATCTGACTGTGAGTTATTAATTTTTACACTTCCCACAAAGTAACAATCAGCTACTGTATCAAATAGTTACACTCTCTTCCTGATTCAGGTTTTCCATTACCTGCTGAAGTATGTCTCCTGTTTCTTCTCAAAGAAGTAAGTACAGTCTCTGGTCTTCCTCATTACTAACCAGTTCTCGGCACAGTAGTATAATTGAGTTATAAGCAGGATCTACACTGTGTCTAGATTATCTTGATAACCTTTTTTTCCCCCCTTGAGTTGGTGTCTAGCACTGTTATCCAGGCTGGAATATAGTGGCTCACCACAGCCTCGACCTCCTGGGCTCAGGTGATCCTTTTACCTCAGCCTCCCGAGTAACTGGGACTACAGGTGCATGCCACCAATCTTGGCTAATTTATTTTTAATTTTTTTTTTTTGATTTGGAGTCTCACTCTCAACAGAGTGAGTGGCCGCTCCCGGCCACCGCAGCCTCCACCTGCTGGGCTCCGGCGATCCTTCCGCCTCAGCCTTCCAAGTAGCTGGAACTATAGGTGCACACTACCACACCCTGCTAATTTTTGATTTATTGTAGAGATGAGGTCTCGCCAAGTTGCCCAGGCGGGTCTCGAACCCGCAGGCTCAGGCAATCCACTCACCTCAGCCTCCCAAGGCATGGGATTACAGGCTGAGCCCGGCTTATTTTTAATTTTTTTACAGAGACAAAGTCTCACTATGCTGCCCAGGTTGATCTCCAACTCCTGGGCTCAAGCAGTCCTCTCACCTCAGTCCTCCAAAGTGCTGGGATCATAGGCACTCAACTCAATAACTTTTAAATGGAATGTTTGGTACCTTGTTTTCACTTAGGAATATATTGTAGTGATTTTTACATCTCAGTACATACCTGATAATAAGCACCTTATTGTTTTTCACTGCTACATGAGAAGCTGTATATCAATTTATTGACCCAGTCTCAGACATTTAGGAAGTTTCTCATTTTTTTTGCCAAAATACCCATCTTTGTGTTTATTTCAACTATATTGATAGGATGTATTTCTAGAAGTAGAACTGTTTCAAATTATATGCAGTTTTAATTTTGGTAGATAATACCAGATTGCCAGACCAACATTTTTTCTTTTAAAGATTTTTTTTTTTTTTTTTAGCTGGCATCTCACTCTGTCACCCAGGCTGGGCAGTAGCATGCTCACAATCACTGCAGCCTCGACCTGCTGGGCTCAGGTGATCCTTCCTCCTTAGCCTTCCAAGCAGCTGGAATTACAGGCATGTGCTGCCACACCCGGCTAAGTTTTTTATTTATTGTAGAGATGAGGTCTCACCAAGTTGCCCAGGGTGGTCTCCAACCTGTGGACTCAGGCAATCCTCTCGCCTTGGCCTCCCAAAGTGCTGGGATTATAGGCTGAGCCTCCGTGCCCAGCCTAAAGATTTTTATTTACTCAAATAATTAACATTCATTGTAGAATGAATGAGAAAATACATAAAAATTAAAGATGTATAAAAAGTAAAAGGGGAAAGACTCTTCCTTACTTTTAATTTGATCAGAGATAACTGACGTAAATGTCCTAGCATGTATCTTCCAGAATTTATATCTATATGTGGTTGTATTTTTTAAGTCATAGTACATACGTTATGTGGTAGTTTTTTCTATTTAAAGTACCATGAACATTTTCATTACCAAATTGTTCTCCATAAAAACGAGAGGAAACTAGACTCCACAGGTCACCTGTGAGCGCACCTAGTACCCCTCATGGCTGCCAGCACTGCTCAACTTCCACCGTCTAATCTCTACCAACCTGGGAGGCAAAAAGTGGTATTTTCAGTTTTAATCGACTTACTAGTGAAGTTGAACTTTTTCACATTTACTATTTTATGTTTATTATGAATTGCCTGCGCCTCTCCTTTTTAAAAATAATAATAATAATAATGTCTTAGCCAGGTGCAGTGGCTCACGCCTGTAATCCCAGCACTTTGGGAGGCATAGGCCAGCGGATTACCTGAACTCAGGAGTTCAAGACCAGCCTGGACAACTTGGCAAGCCCTCATTTCTACAATAAATAAAAAAAACTGGCCAGGTGTGGTGGCGCATGCCTGTGGTTCCAGCTACTTGGAAGGCTGGGGCGGAAGGATCGCCTGAGCTAGCAAGGTCAAGGCTGCAGCGGCCATGAGTGTGCCACTGCACTCTAGCCTGGGGGACAGAGACTCTGATTCAAAAATAATAATGTTTTAATATTTTATGTATTTTAGACTTTTTAAATTTTAGCTTTTTTAAGGGTCACATCTGTCAGCTTTTTCCTTTATAGTGTTATGGTTAGCATGAAAGTTACCTGTTATAAGCTGAACAAGTGCTTGAGTTTATATTCTAGAAAACTCAATCTGGTATCTATTCAATCTGATTTTTTAAATGTCTCCTGAGAAAAAAACTCCACCCAAATTGAAATCTCATTCTTGGTCTGTAAGAGCTGGACATAAAATACTGATAGTCAGATTCTCTGGTAAACAACTAGGTTAAAAAGTGTTTTGAAAAAACCAAGAACAAATTACACTTAAAAAAACTTTTGTCTCTAAGAGAAGAAAGAATGCATCATCTTTGCTGGAGTGTTATTTTGATGAGTATTCATGTTTCCAGTAGATTTTTAAGTTACTTTTTCTGCTTATGCAGTAACACCTCAAAAATGCTAAGTTGAAAGTACATTTGAGGTACAGTATTACCAACACATGGATATAACTTCTTTTGGTTTATTATTTAAAATAAAAGGTAAATAATAACCATAAAATGAATATCTATCACTTAGTTTGAACAGTTAACATTTTTTCATTTGTTTCATCTTTTAAAACAATTATTTTAAACTAAATTACCAGTGTTGTTTACCTGCTTTTCTATTGCATTAATAATCTCTCTCTTTTTTTGGAAGTCGGAGTCTCACTCTGTCACTCAGGCTGGAGTGTAGTGACACACTCGTGACCACTGCAGCCTTGACCAGCTGGGCTCAGGCGATCCTTCCACCTCAGCCTTCCAAGTAGCTGGAACTACAGGCGTGTGCCCCCATACCCCATTCATTTTTTTGATTTATTGTAGGGATGACATCTCGCTATGTTGCTCAGGCTGGTCTGGAACCCCTGACTTCAGGCAATCCTCTCATCTCCGCCTCCCAAAGTGCTGGGGTTACAGGCATGAGCCACCACGCCTGCGATAATCCCACCGATTATAAATTTATTTTTGAAAACTTCTGACGTACAGAAATGTACAAGACAAGCTCTGTCCTTCACCTAGATTTGCCATTTGTTAACATTTGGCTCCTTTGTTTTCTCCCTCTACTGTACACATGTGCATGACTATTTCTGATGAATATCCTAAGTTGCAGACATCAAAATTCTTCATCTCTTAATATTTAAGCCTGTAGCTGAAGAATAAGGACATTCTTCCATAGCTATGGTAAAATTATCAAATTAGAGAAACTGATAGAATACGGCTATATAATATACAATCTCTAGTCATATTTTGACAATTGTCCCAAAAGTGTTCTTTGTAACAATTGTTTTCAATCCAGGTTAACTTTGTTTTTGCTTTTTTTTGAGTTGGAGTCTCACTCTGTTGCCCAGGCTGGGCCTGGAGTGCAGTGGCACGCTCATGGCCATTGTAGCTTCAACCAGCTGGGCTCAGGCGATCCTTCCACCTTAGCCTTCCAAGTAGCTGGAACTATAGGTGTGTACCACCATGCCCAGCTAAGTTTTTTATTTATTGTAGAGATGAGGTCTTGCCAAATTGTCTAGTGTAGTCTCAAACCTGTGGGTTCAGGCAATCCTCTCACCTCCGCCTCCCAAAGTGCTAGGATTACAGGCATGAGCCACCGTGCCCGGCCCCATGTTAATTTTTAAAATACTTTAAAATCAGGGAAATAAATCCATTGTGAAGGTAGCAGATTTTTCAATTTGTCTTCAGCTGGACTGTCCACTTGTTAAAAAATTAAATCTACCCTTGCTCTATCTCTCTCTGGGGCTATTGAGAAGTATATGCCCCAGGACTGCAGGTAATTTCAAATTTGGAGTTTCAAGTATGTCTAAGTAGTAAGGCAGCAGCATTTGAATTAGAGCACTCTTTTCCATGGTGACATATTGGAGACAGTGTTCCTCTAGCATATTCACTTTAATATCTGTTACTGAAGATATTAATTCAACATAGATTGAGCATATGGTGAAGGCATCCCGGGTTCTGGCTGGAGAACCTTTATTTTCCTATTCCACTCTCACCTTCACCCTTCCCCACTGAATAAAGGACGAAGAGGCTACAACAGATGAAGCAGATGGAACTAGGGACGGTGAAGCCAAGAGTCCTTTTGAACCAGCGCCTGCTGAGCTGACAACACGCCTGTCTTCTGACGCTGACTGGGATAATGATATCGATGATGCTTGTTTTTTAGAAGCTACTGAAGATGCTGAATTAGCTGCAGCTGCAGAGAACAGTTTCAGTTACAGTAGTGTGGCTGATGAAATTCCTGATGAACTGATCATGGAAGTACTACAAGAGTAGCTCATTAACTAGGGACACATATCACCAGGCTGTCTGAAGTCTGTGAGACTTGGTGACATAAACATATTGTATAAACTTATTATTAAACCTGTTATTATCAACTAAGTTTTATCGTTTTGTTTTCCAATGTTTGTTTTTTACTTCAGGAAACCAATTTTGTTGAAAATTAGCTTTGGTGTATTTAAATTAAGTAGAACTCTCCTTATTAACTAACCAAAATTAGTCTTTGTTCACATCCATTTAACTTTGCAAGTACTTATAGGTTAAAACTCTTTTATGTCTGAGGCTTGATTAAGATAAGATGTCAACATTTTAAAATTCATTACTCAAGACACTAACTGGAAAAGATTATTATGGCCTTTAAAACTATTAAACACTCAAACTGATGCCATTTAACATTGTTCACAGTAATTTATTTAATTAGAGTGACAAAGTAATATTAAATTCTGGTAACTAGGCTATACTTTTTAAAAGCAATTTTACTTATAAAAGAACAGTTACAGAAAGTAACACAGTAGCACGAGACTAATCTTTTTATAGGCACATTTCAATTTCAGCACGCTGGTCTTATTCCTGGTCAAGGAGCGTCTCTAATTGGCGGTTGATATTTTGCAGATGGTTTTCAGCTCCCAAAGGGGTTCTTGCTTTAAATAACAGAGCTGGAAGGCTGGATGAATCATACTGTCGAAAGGAAATAATTTACTTAGATTAACAAGTACAAAAACCTTTTTTTTTTTAAGGGACAGTCTCACTCTGTTGCACAGGCTGGAGTGTAGTGGTGCAATCATAGCTCACTGCAGCTTCCAGCTCCTGAACTCAAGCAATCCTCTTGTCTCAGCCTCCTGAGTAGCTGGGACTACAGGCACACACCACCACATCGGCTAACTGATATATTTTTTTGTGGTAGAAACAGACCCTTACGATGCTGCCCAGGCTGGTCTCAGACTCCAGGCTCAAACTTCTCCCAAAGGGCTAAGAGACTACAATCGTGAGCCACCTCGCCCAGCTAAATAGAAACAACTTTTATAAACCTGTCTTTACATAGCTCAATCCTATGACTAATGTCAATTCTGATAGAGCTTTGCATTAACTTTCATTTTTAAACTAAGATCATTAAAAAAGTTGGTTTTAGTCCATTTTCTTTAGACATGGTTGATGATATAAAGTCTACAAAACTTAAGGTGATTTTCTCATTCTGGAGACCCAGCTGGCTCAAAGAATGGTGGCATGTGAATTACTTAAAACAGAAAATCATGCCGAGGTTGGTCAAGACTTGGTTTGGGCAAGTCTGATGGTGCTGTATAAGGTCTGCTTGATCTCGTGTGTTTTAAAACACACAAAACAGTAAGGCAAGTTTTACTTTTACTGCAAGAATAATGGAATGAGAACACCAGGCCCATACAATTTCATAAGGAAAAACAATGAAAATCTACTATCTAGAAAATTATTTGGAGAATCAATTAAATGTCTTAAAGGTTGTCATTCCAAATGTTCTTGATGCTTAAAGACATAACTAGATTACAAGCCTCACAAAAAATTGAACACAAAATTCAACTCATGATTTTGTAGTTAATAAAGCCAAACTTTTTGTTGCAAATTGTATCTAACATTCCCCTTGTAGAATTTTATCAGACTTTTGATAGTTTGATTAATAACATGTTTTCAAGGTAGTTTTCTTAGTAATGAAAACTGAGCAGAAAAACTGTCACACTATACTGCCACCCACATAATAGTGGACATTTTTCTGGCATCCAACATATCCTTGCTACTAGAGAATTCAATTTAACAAATATTTGAGAGACTCATGTTAAAGACATTATGGGCACCTGCTCCAGGGAGGAAAAAAGGATACTTGGCCCTAGATGTTTAGTTTAGGAAAAGAGGTAAGACATACCCAAATATCTATTCTCCGTAAGACAAAGGGGTGGCTACTAAGAGTGTCCAGGAAGGCATCAAAGGCAGGCAACGAACAGAACAGGCCTGAGAGTGGTGTGTTCCAAACAAGGTGGAGTTGTTAAATCTGTTTTAGCCAGAGTGATTATGCTCAAATTGGATCAATGCTACTGTTAATTTCTTTATTAATGTCCCCAAATTTAGTAGCCAAAGCACCAACTCCAAACAACTTTAGATGAGTTAGATAACCCCCCCAAAACTTTTGAAAACATTCTATTTCTGGATCTCTAAGATATAAGCAAACCTTAGGCTCAGGAGAATTAACTTGGATCAAAGTTAGAAACTTAAAATTGAATTTAGAAATGGAAAACACAAATATGATCTTAAGATATATATACATTATATATAACTATACATATTTTACATAAAATTGTATTAGGGTATCAAATTTTCTGTTAATCTGAGCTGAATGGCATAACTAGCCTTCATTAAGTAGCTAAGAAAAGTGATGATAGAACAAATTTTCACTGATTTACAGTGGTGCTATTTTGGGTAGACTCTGATGTTGCATCTCCATTTATCTTTCCTCAACACTTCTGGTACCTTCACATGCAGAAGCCCTCGATGATCATATACAGCACAGAAAAAGTAAAAAGTGGTGTTACCGTTTCCTTTACTTTTGGTTCTTTCTTTTGAACATCAGAATAGTCTTGATAAAGCTGTTTTAAGTTAGATAGGAAATATGCTGCATTCCTAAGGGAAGACTTTCTCTTCTCAAGTTCATCACATTGTGTCTGCAGTTGTTTCAGCTGTGGCTCTAACCTAAAACAAAAATAAATGACATATAATACAGTGTAACAGACCCTATCCAGCACAGGAGACTGAGGAGGTAAGTATACTGAGCAAAGTGTGAAAAACCAGAGGAGGAAGACTAGATGACTTACCTTTGGCTCTGAAACTATGAATGTGTGTAAGATTCTAGGTTTCAATTTAAAACGTGTGGAAAAATTCTGAAGTGTGATGCACAATGAGTAACTGGCAGTTGACAGGCACAGAAGAATATTCCTTAGATATGCTGAAGTTCTTCGTCATCCAAGTTCTGGAAAGTTTATGTGCATGTCTGGCCAGCATTTTAGAGCCTCATGCAGGAACAGGCCACCTTTGCTGTTGATTAGGGACACCAGGGACAACAAGCTTTCCCCGTACCCCTTCCTCTTACCAAAATCTTGTCTACTTTCCAAAGTGTAATAAAACCAGTGGAAAAACTATCACAGCACCTGGATGAAAAAGGTGTGACCTTAGGCAAACTGCATCATATCTCAGTGGCCGAGTTTCTTCACCTATGAAAAGGGATAACTTGGGCTTTATGGACCAATTAAAAAAAGGAGGTGGAAAGACTGCCAATTTTTTATTTTGCTGAATAAAGATATAAAAAACAACTATCCTTTAATAAAACTTCACAGAAGAAAAGTCCTGTTTAACAGTTCTTTATGTTGAACAAAAGCAGAGTTCAGGGCCATGGTCCGGAGTGTAGAGTTGGAGTCCATCAGCTGATGGCAGACCCTGGCTCCTCCCCTGCCTAGGGGGCCTCTGGTTTTTCACATGTAAAGTTAAAATAATGATACGCCACACTTTTCCTTACAATAGCTTTTCCAAATGTACCCCACAACTTCTACAGCTTTATCTAAAAAGCAGAAGTTAGCCTTTAAACCCATCTGAGCGGCTTCAGTGATGACAAATGAACCCAGCAGTCTCAGTAGCCTCAAAAACCTGCCTCACGGGGCCGTGGGGATGACAAATGAACACAAAAAGCCTCTGGGAAAGTGCCCTGCCATGTAGAAAGCCCATAAGTGCCAGCTCTCCTTACTATGGGACCTTCAATTTTCTTATTTTGGCCTGGGCCCATGAAAACCCTATCACGGGCCAGCACTGATCCATAGACTAGATTTGGAAACCCATGGCTGTGGTGGGTGACGGCTGTGTGGACTGCAGCTTTCCCAACAAGGCCTCTGGCAGCCCTGGCCTGCAGTGCCTGGGCAGTTCTCCTGGCTCCACGCTTAGGAATGGATTCATATGAGTGCCACTCTGAGGCCTACTTTTCGACAATAACAACAGTAAGCCTTTATGCAGCACTTAGTGTTTGCCTGTGAAGCACTTTCTGTATATTTACTCATTTAACTTCCACAATACTCTGTGAGGTGTAGGTGTTACTATGCCTACATACACAAGAGACAACTGAGGTCCTGGGAGGTTAAGTAATTTGCTCAAGGTTACACAGCCAGTCAACGGGCAGAGCCTAGATTCAAACCCGGGCAAATTCTAGTACCTCTGCATTAAATCTCTGATTAGGCTGCCTCTCAGGTAAGAGCCAAGAAATCTGTTGGGAGACAGATCAGTGCAGAATTCTCCTTTGCAAAAGGGTTCTGCAACTAGGCAGCATGAGCCACCTACACCGAGCATCTGAGCTTAAGATAATCTAGAGCTTTAATACAACACAGCCAGAGGTATTACTCCCCCAAAAGACACATCATAATCACATCCTTCTAGGTAAGTTCTCAACTGGATTTTGATATTATCTTACCGAAGCAGTTCATCCTGGACTTGAATCAAACGCTGTGTCTTCTTTTTGATATCCAAAATCATCTAAACAATAAACAATAATTTCTGTGATAATTCTGTAAATACTTGAGCATTGCCATGTACGCTGTGTCAGGTATTCGTTCAATTCCTATCTTCCTAAAATTTGGTCTAATGAGAAGACAGGCATCTAAACAGCACGTGATTACAATTCGTGATATGTGCTATGAAAAAAACGAACAGAGAACCCTGGAAAAGCAAAGCAGGGACGTTTACTTCAGGATGACTGAAGAAGAAGGTGAAGGCCAGATCTGAACTAGACCCTGAGACCTAAAAAGACTTAAGATTTTATCGAGGTACACTAGGCAAATATTGAAGCAGGACAATGTTGTGATCTACTTTGTATTTGATTTTATTTTTGAATTGAGGTCTCACTTTCATCCAAGCTGGAGTGCAATGGCACGGCCACAGCTCACCAAAGCCTTGAACTCTTGGGCTCAAGTGATCCTCCCACTGTAGCCTCCTAAGTAGCTGGGACTACAGGTGTGCATCACCATGTCTGGCTAATTTTTTGGTTGTTTTTTTTTTTTTTTTAGAGACGAGGTCTCACTATGTTGCCCAGGCTAGTCTTGAACTCCTGGGCTCAGATGAGCCTCCCTCCTTGGCAACCCAAATTGCTGGGATTACAGGTATGAGCCACCATGCCCAGCTCCAGTTTGTATTTTAAAAAGAACACTGCGATATAATACATTTTATATCCCAGCCATCATTTTTAGTAATTATCTAATATCCCAGTGTTGGGCATTCAGAATGTTCGCACATGCTTAAAAGCAATGCAGAAATGACCAGTAAGAGATCAAAACTGAAAGAAAACCACAAAACTTCAAAAAGGCCTGTAACCACTGGAAAGAAAATGTACAAGTTTCAAGCCCATTTTTACTATAAATGCAGAGATGGAGCTGGCCTTCTACTCCTAGGCTCACCTCTGAGGTCAGTGTGGACTGGCCTGTTTCCTAATGCATACCAAGAGGTGTACAGTCTTCAAGATTCAGGTACAGGTCTAGAAATGAGGGCTCCTGACCCTAACCCAGTATTCTTCCCAGGCTGTCCTTTTGCCCGGACAGTTCTTTATTCTGGTTTGCTTCTTGACATCCACAAAAGCAAAATATACATTAATTAGTATTATCCATATCAGCAATCATTTTGGACTTGATAGCAATTTTAAGGCTGACTTTGGGACATTAAAAACAGGCTTAAGTTTCTGTCTTCGATTATAAGAACAATTATTTTGACACTTATGCAGCTTTAGGTGACTAGGATCCCCACTCCTTAGTTTACATTAATAGTGCTTGTCAGATCAACTACAAGGTCAACCAAATAGTAGGCTGATTAAAAAGATTTTAAAATCTTGCGCAAACTCTAAAGGTTATAAACTACTTAATTCTACATATATTAGTACTGTGTATGACTATATGACTCTATGGCTAAGTGATTTACCTTAGCATTCTTCCTTTTCAGATTTTTCAACATCTGATCTTCTTTAAACTAAATAAAACAAAACAAAATTGACATGCATTTTCCAAAAGTAACTCTTAATTACTTTCACATATTTCATATGTAGTTTAAAAAAGATGTGAAATATGGGTAGCTCTAATGAGTTTATTACTAAAATGCAAGCTTTTCTAAGACAACAGTGTGCTGCCTCAGGACAAGTGAAAAAAAAATTAGGCCAACAATTGATGTCAGTGAGCTTACCATTTTGATGAATTCTTCTTTAATATTAAAATAAAATTTGTTGATGGCTTTCTTATAAATTTTAGACTCTATTCTTTGCCTGTAGAGGAGTAAAAAACAAACAAACAAAAATAAATCTAGGTATCATAAAGGATTTTGAAAGGTGTTTCATTTGCTTAGCACATAAACAAACATGCACACAGAATTTGGCATACAATATCATCTTAAGTATCTAAGATGGCAATGTTCAGCTTGCTGCCTTTTCTCAGGCTTAAAAAGTATTGGGAACATGTCTCAGCAAAATAAAAAGAACAGAAATATTTTTCCCTGAGCCCTCTGGAATGGTGTCATCTTAACTGACACTGGCCAAGTTCACAGGTGATATTACATGATGTGGAAATGCTACGACTACTCCCAGTCTTTTCCTGCCTCCTGATCTAAATAACCAGCAGACTTTATCTCCTCCCTCTTTGCTTGCTAGCAACAGGAGGAATAATCATGTAACTCATTGGGACTAACCAATAAATCGTCATAAATCAGCTTCCCAGTTCTTCAGAAACTATAAAGCTGACCCAAATGAAGCAAGTGGTTCAAGTCCTTGTCATCAGAAGAGAGCTGATGGCCAGGCTGGGATTCTCCTGGTATGGCTTGCTCATGGTTAGACGGCAGACCCACAGTGACTGTGCAGCAGCAGTGGACACTCTGCCAAGTCTTTGGCCAATTACTTAATTGGGTTTTTGTTATATTACAGCTGAGGTTTAAGAGTTCTTTGTTTATTTTGGATAATAGTCCTTTGTCAGATATAGAGCAGAAATGTTTAATTTTGGTGAAATCCAGCTTATCAATTCTTTCATGGATGGTGCCTTTGGGCATTATCACTTAACCAACAAATTCAAGGTCATCTGGATTTTCTCCTATGTTATCTTCCAGAAGTTTTATACGAACAGTTTTGCATTCAGGTCTGTGGTTGACTTTGAGTTGATTTTTGCTAAGGGTGTACAGTCTGTGTCTAGATTCATTTTTTTGCATATCTAGTTGTACCAGCACCACTTTTTGAAAAGACTCTTATCTGTATGGTATTAACTATGCTCCTTTGTCAAAGATCATATCTTTGACTATATTTATATGGATCTATTTCTAGGCTCTCTATTCTGTTTCACCGATCTATGTCACCAATACCACAATATCTTTTTTTTTTTTCCCCTCAATTTTCAAGTGTATCTGTCTCTAAATTTATACCAAAAGCAACACCCTGTCTCTAAGGCTTTCAATAAAAAAAAAAAAAAAAAAGATATGGGGTACAATTCAGGATTAGGTACATAAGAGGTCATTGTACAGGTTAAGTTTGGGGCCTCCCATTGATTCTCACTTTGCCTGGTTTGGGATCAGGTGGCTTTCATTTCTTTTTTTTTTTTTTTAACCACAATATCTTTATTACTGTAGCTTTTAAGTCTGGATGTCAGATTGCATCAGTCCTCCGGTTCTATTATTCTCTTTCAAAACCGAGTTGGCTATTCCAGGTCTTCTGCCTCTCCATATTATCTTTAGAATTAATTTGTTTAGCCGGTCATGGTGTGGCTAAAGCCTGTAATCCCAGCACTTTGGGAAGCTGAGGTGAGAGGACTGCCTGAGCCCACGGGTTCAAGAACAGCCTGGACAACTTGGTGAGACCTCATCTCTACAATAAATAAAAAATTAGCCACGTGTGGTACCACGCGCCTGTAGTCTGGCTACTCGGAAGGCTGAGGTGGAAGGATCGTCCAAGCCCAGCAGGTCAATGCTGGGGTGGCTGTGAGTGTGCCACTGCACTCCAGCCTGGGTGATGGAGACTCCAAATCAAAAAAAAAAAAGAAAAAGAATTAGTTTGTTGATATGTAAAAAATAACTTGCTATGATTTTGACTGGGACTGCACTGAATCTATAGATCGAGTTGAGAGGAACTGACAGTTTGACAATATTTAGTCTTCCTATCCATGAACATGGAATATCTCCACTTATTTAGTTCTTCTTTGATTTCATTCATCAGTTTGTAGTTTTCTTTATATAGATCTTGTACATATTTTATTAGATTTATACCTAAGTATTCCATTGGGGGGGTGCTAATGTAAATAATATTATTTCACTTGTTTACTGCTGGTATATAAAAAAGCAATGGGCTTGTGTATATTAATCTTGTATCCTGCAACTCTGCCATAATCAATTACTAGTTCTGGGAGTTTTTGGGGTCTATTATTTCAGATTTTTGCATACAGTCACGTCATCTGAGCAAAAACACAGTTTTATTTCTTTCTTCCCAATCGGTATACCTTTTCTTGTTTTATTGCATTAGCTAGGACTTCTAGTATGGCACTGAAAAGAAGTGGTGAGAGGGATATCCTTGCCTTGTTCCTGATTTTAGTGGGAAAGTTTCTACTTTCTACTAGGTATGGTGTTAGCTGCACACTGTTTAGATATACTTTATCAAGGTGAAGAAGTTCCTTTCCAGCCTAATTTTAGTGAGTTTTTAAAAATCATGAATGAATCCTGATTTTTGTCAAATGCTTTATCTGAATCTATTAATATGATCATATGATTTTTCTTCTTTGGCTTGTTGATATGATGGATTACACTAATTGATTTTTGAAAGATGAACCAGCATTGCATGCTTGGGATAAATCCCACCTGGTTGTGATGTGTAATTCTTTCTTACACATCGTTGGATTCAATTTGCTAATTTTTTTTGAGGATTTATAGATCAATTTTCTTTCTTTTTATGGATCAATTTTCATGAGAGATATTGGTCTATTGTTTTCTTTTTTTTTTTGCAATGTCCTTATCTAATTTTAGTACTACGGTATTGCTGGCCTCATAGAATGAATTAGGAAGTATTACCTCTGCTTCCATCTTCTGAAATTTGCAGAGAATTGGTCTAATTTCTTCTTTTGATGTGTGGCAGAATTCACCAGTGAATCCATCTGGGCCTAGTGATTTATGTTTTGGGAGGTTATTAGTTATTTATTCAATTTCTTTAATAGCTATAGACCTATTTAGATTGTCTATTTCTTCTTATGTGAATTTTGGCAAATTGTATCTTTGAAGGTATTGGTCTATTTTATCTAGGTTAACAAATTTGAGAGCATAGAGTTGTTTACAGTATCCTTTTGTGTCCTTTTAATGTTCATTTGATCTGTGATGTCCCTTCTTTCAATTATGATATTAGCAATTTGTATCCTCTAATTTTTCTCTTAGCCTGACTAGAGGGTTACTGATTTTTATTGACTGTTTCAAAGAATCAGCTTTTGATTTCATTGATCTTTCTTTATTGAGTTCCTGTTTTTAATCTCAATGGTTTCTGTTCTAATTTTTATTATTTCTTTTCTTCTGCTTACTTTGGAACTAATTTGCTTATTTTTCTAGTTTCCTAGGGTGGAAGGTTAGATTATTTATTTTACATCATACTACTAACAACAACAATAACAACAAAAACCGTTAGAATAAGTGAATTAGGCAAAGTTGCCAGCTTCAAAATCAACACCAAAAAAATTGGTTGTGGAAATTAAGAAAACAATTCCATTTACAATAAGTAACACTGAAAAAAATTAAATACTTTGGAATAAACTTATCCAAGGAAGTGAAAGATGTTACACTGAAACTGCAAAGAATGCTGAAAGAAATTAAAGAAAACACAACTATTGGAAAGATATCCCATGCTCATGGATTGGAAGACTTAATATGGTGAAAATGTCCACACTATCTAAAACAATCTACAGATTCAATGCTATCCCTATCAAGACTTCAATTTTTTTTTTTTTTGCAGAAACAGGAAAAAAAAAAAATCCTAAAATTCATATGGAGTATCTAAGGACTCCAAATAGCAAAAACAATACTGAGGAGGGAAAAAAAGCTGGAAGGCTCATATTTTCTGATCTCAAAGCATATTATGAAACTACAATAATCACCTGGTACCAGTACAAAGACAGACATACAGACCAAAACAGAATAGAGAACCCAGAAATAAACCTTTAAGTGTACTGAGGGTTTATGATCTTTGAGAAGGGTGTCAAAGCTACACAATGGGAAAGAATAGTCTTTTTTAACAGATGGTGCTGAGAAAACTGGATATCCACATGCAGATGAATAAATTTTTTTTTTTTAGTTAGGAAGAGAGTAGTTTTTGTACCTAAGGAAGTTAGGTAATTTTTGTACCATATACAAAAATTAACTCAAAATGGAGTAAAGATTTAATGTAAGACTTGAAATTTTAAAACTCCTAGAAGAAAGCCTTCATGATATAGGATTTGGTAATGATTCCTTGCATGTGACATCCAAATTATAGGCAACAAAAGCAAGAATAGACTAATATAATTACATCAAACTTAAAATTTCTGTAAAACAAAGGAAACAATCAACAGAATGGAAAGACAACCAACCAAATGGAAGAAAATATTTAGAAACCACATATCTGATAAAGGGCTAATATCTAGAATATAAAGAACTCCTACAACTCAATTAATTTCACATACATACATACATGCCCCAACTAAAAAATAGGCAACTTGAACAGACATTTCTCCAAAGAACTTATACAAATGTGTCAATGAGCACATGAAAAGATGCTCAATCCCACTAAGCATTAGGGCAATGCAAAACAAAACCACAATACCATGTCACACCCATTTGGTGGCCATTATTAAAACAAATAAATGAAAACCAGAAAACAAGTGTTGGTGAGAAAGTGGAGAAACCTCATGTATTGCTGGGGGAAATATAAAATGTCAATGTAGAGAACATTATGGCAGTTCCATCCCCCCAAATTAAATAGAATCACTATATGATTCAGCAATTTCACTTGGGGGTATACACACTAAAGAAATGAAAGCACGGGCTCAAACATCAATTGTATACCAATGTTGATAGCTACATTATTCACAATACCAAAAGGGAGAACTCAGGCATTCACTGGTGGGTGAATAGATAAAGAGAATGTGATATAGTCATGTGCTACATAATGATGCTTCAGTCAAAAATGTATGGCACATCCTTTGGCGGTCTCTCTCTTACAACAGAGCTAAAACTTTCCTATCACCTAGTGACACCACAGGCATCACTCGTGTCTGTGAT